TATATATCTTATTTATTATGAATCGCATTTAATTGTTATTTTGTATTCCAATTATCATTATTATTATTATTTTTATTTTATCTTTAGTTTATTGTAATTATTATGTTTCTGCGCATTTGAATATATATATATATATATATAGAATTTGTGCCTTAGAAGTCAATAAATTATTATTGTTATTCACTAATCTGGTGTTTAAACCAATAAAAGGTGAGGTTAATTCAAAGGTTTAGCGGATCCTCAATGCACTTATTTATTGTGCACTATCAACTTGAAGGGTGCCTAACTCCAGCAGGCACCATGAATATTAGTGTGTATTACTCTTGAGGTTACCAGGTAAATGTGGTCAATCTTTGCAGGAGCGAATCAGAGCTCTAGCGATGAAACAACGAATTACTCCTAACCTAACCTGAAATGATTATCAAGGATCTTTACATTCAATATTTTAGTTACTTATGTCATAAAGCAATGAAAAATATGGATATTTTTGCCGTAAACAGAAATGAAGAGAAGTATGTGGACAGTTTCACTGTTTGCAGTGATTTAGGCAACAACTCAACCGACAGGTTGTTCAATTAATTGATTTATGCACACGGTATTTCACTTTCGCCAAACGCTTAAACATTAATTAATATGCGGATCAAATTTCGTCCACACAAAGTACACGAATCTAGAAAGAAACTCCTCTGTATGGAACATGAACTCGAAAGACTGGGAGAGAAAGGGAATCTGGTTTCAAAAAGGGTCTTAATAACTTGAAGTTTTCCTCTTAAAAAAAGACAATTGGATAATGCATCTAACTAATGATTTACACAAGTTTTCTTAGCTGAGGAGTATCACTGAGTTATCTCCTTCGAAAGAAGCCGAGACGTAAAAAGGTGTGTCACGAAATATTTCGCTGGAAAGCTAATGGAAGGTATGTTGAAAAATTATATCAGTATTAGGGAAATCAGTATTGATCGTTAACGATAGATCAAAGAAACCAACCACGAGTCCAACCACGAGTCCTACACACGTAAATACCATAAAAGGACTGCTGAGATATTTGGTGCAATCAATTTTAGAATTAGGTTGATGAAAATCTTTTGGGAAGAATTTTTCATCGACGAAAGGAACATTCTTTGCCTCCATATGCCTTTCAAGCGAGAAAGACTGCCAAAATCGTAAAGGGTTCATTCTCGTCCTCAGAGCCACTCGTTTTCGCTTACTCTAATCACATGACCAGCTTCTTGTTGCTACCGCCTTACCTCCTGTGTAGATCAGTCTTTTAGCAATTCGATATCGTTTGAACTATATGTTTGAAAAAAAATTTTTTTGGTTAAATGTACTAAATTTGTAGAATTTATTAGCTTGTTTTGATTGTCAATGTTGAAACAGTGCGACACATGAAAGAAGCAGTCTGTATTTTAAACCACAAAGCCATAATTTCGTTATACTATTTCAGCACGGTTTTCCGTGTCATGTTCTTCAATTAAGCTTGCACAGAATCTTGGGCCTGGGGTTTTTCCCTGACAAAACAACTTCTAATATTAGGCAGCAACGCTGTCGGCAAGTTTATAGCTTAAATAGTTTCCTCGAGAGTTTTCGTTCGATGTTTCTGTTCAATTTCATTTGGACCTTATTGATCTTACTGAATTCCTTTGAAACATTCTGATAACGAATTGAGGTGGCAAGGTTGGGAAAAACGCTTATGGAACAGTCAAACGTGGCTAAGTGTTTACTCGACAGGGTAAGACTTTCCCAGGTTGAGAAGGATCTTTATACATTAAGTAAATGCCTTTTTTTTAGTTTCTCTGTCAAATTAACACCTTCAAGTGTTTTAGAAATCTTTTTTGATTTTCTTTGATTTCTGGTGGTGTGAATCTCTGCTACAATTACCGAGGATTGCTAACTTTTTTTTGAATACTTCGTTGCAATGAACTGCCGTCCCACGTTACTTTAAAACTTAACTTAAAATGCTGGCGAATTCACAAAAAAATGCAGAGAGAAAAAAACGTTATTTAACTAAAAAAAAAAGAAAAAAAGAAAAATAATAGGATTTAGTAGTGGACATGCTACGAGGTGGCTGTTCTTGTCCACTGATTCAAATTGTCAATAAACAATAAGCGCTAACAATACTGTGGCTGGCTTCGCTGTGTATTTTCATCGCTATCTTCAAAGTTGCTTTACGGAATGTTCCACAGTTCCCCGGTTACAAGGCAATTTTATATCAGCTCATGTTTGTTCCTTCATTCTTGACTTTGGATCTTCTTCTCACCCTCTCCTTGTATCGATACATCCTCGAGATGCATACAGCATATACAGCTAAGAACTCCTTGGATATAGATACTATAAACACACTTGTGGCAGTTTTTGGCATCACCACTTTTAGAATTTCCTTAATGAAGTTCTTTTAGGAAAAGTTTTTAACGACGATAGGAACATCCTTCGTAACCACATTCCCTTGGAGCGAGAAGGAATGGAAAATCACAGGGTGTCCACTCTCGTCCCCGGAGCAACTCGTTTTTAACTCGTGAATTGCGCGCATGCGCAAGAGCGAGTTATAGATACGATGTGGGGAATGCCATTCGCTCGCTCGCTCGCTCGCTCGCTCGATTGGTCGATTCCTGTAAACTTTTTTTAGATTTTAGGCTTTTGAGTGCATTTGATAGTTTTTGGCGAGCAATAAACAGACGAAATGGCGACCTTTGTTGCTAAGAATAGTGGTGGGGTGAAAAAGAAGCCAATGATAATCTTAAAAGAGTTTTTTTTTTCGTTTTAGTTTCAACAAGCGGCGCCAGTGACTGGCAGGCATGCAAGGATTCACACTGAAATAACAGAACAACCTTCGTTTTTCATAAAATTGTAATTTACAATCCTTGAACTTGAAAACAATCCGAAGATTCATTGAAAATATCACTTACTGCGAAGCGCTCGGAGTTTACAGATGTTCAAAGGCTTTTTCTGTTATGGCGTGAGATTGAGGACAAAATTGATCATTACGTTTCGTCGCGTGTGTTTTTCCTGTGTGAAGCAACAAAAGATGCCGGCGACTGACGAAATAACAAGTTAACACGAAAATCAAATAACACCTAAACAAACAATTTTAGCTACCGATTTTCAGTGAATTTTTAAAGAACAATTTTCTTTTAAGTTTCAAGACAATTTGAAGATTCAACCTACATACAACGTACTAAAATGCGAAAGTTACACACCACAAAATTGATAAATAGGCCTGAAATGAAATTCTATCTTGTTATTGATTATACGTTGCCTAGCACGTGACTTAAATCTACCCAGGCGGAGATCCAAAATGACGGTGACAGGCTTGGCTTAGTTATATCACTCAAAACTCGTTCCCGTTTGTCTCATTTGATAAAAAGGGAATCGTTAATGTTTTCATTAAGACAGTATTGCCTTGATTTTCTAATATTTACAACGAAAGACAGTTAATTTTACTTTTCACCCACATTTACCTCCAACCTTTTCTTTTGAACCAGAAACAAAAATGATAGACGTTTAAAACACATGACATCATCCACCTTGTCAAATGTAATAGCATGATCATTTCGATTGTAATGCCTTCTTATCCCAACGTTACTTTGTTTCTTTGCTACATTAGCGAACACTGAACTACTGCTCGTACTCTAGATATGACAATCAACCACAAAATTCCCTAAACCAGATAACATTAAACATAGTCTAAAAAATCATGTGTCAATTCACGAGTTTGCTCACAGAGCACTTTGATCTCTTTTTCGAACACGAGGAATGCTTGTTGATTGTGATTGATAAGACTTACCTCTTGAGTTTAGTGTGAAGAGTGATAACGAAACATTTAAAAATGAGATATAATCATACAAAGTATAGCTGATCGTATGAAAGTGAGAGAATAATGTCATGTGAAGCGCTAGAGAAGTATGTTAGTAATGTTTACTAAAGGTATATACATATGGAGTATGGTAAGTTTCAGGGAGATTTCTACTCCAGAAGCAGTCTATTAGGTTCATTTTGGTTGCTTTTGGCCTCGCACCAGCGACAGGCATTATAATTAACAACGTGTCAATAAATTGATTTAGTTTCTAAGGAAACTGTGGTGTTGCGTCGATGAGGGGTACAACAAGATAATTTGGTTTTGCAATCCAACTACACACAGTAGTTTTAAATGACGCGAATATATGTATATACCACATGTGTACAGTCGGCTTTTTTTTTGTGCTGTGAAAAAAATCTGTTTGAGCGGTCGGCTGCGCAAGCTGCACTTCTCTATCCAATCTGCTTTTCCCGCCTTATGAGAAATGAACAAAAAGACTTGGCAAGAAAAAAAAGCAGTTGGATCATATATAGCTTATTAGACTTTTTTGTGTTTAGTATTGCTTAGTATTTTCACTCCTTGTTTACATTTTGTTGAGGCTGTAGGAGAAGTCAAAATACGGCACAACTCTTAAGAAGACTCTAAGGTATGTCATCGCCAGACAAAGAAAATCCAAAAAATCTTTTCAGGAAAAAAAACTGGAAACCAATATCCCCAGAAACAGTGCGGTGCCACAAACGCTATAGTCCTCTAAATGGTATGCAATCACAGAATGAAAATTAAGATAAATAACAGTTTATGTTCACGCTGCAGGTCGTATAGTCAGCTTTTAGGAGTTTGTTCTCGTTATAGTTTTGATTCGTAACTATTGCTAATAAATTATCTTTAAAGGTTTCCTGGAGTTCTTCATGACGTAGATCAATTTTATTTAATGTTTATTGACGCTTAGAACTTCATGTGTCCTCTTTAATTTCTATGTAATAAAGTTATGACATTCATTTCGTTGTTTTTAATATTTTTTAATATTGAAAGATTGCGATGCATAACAGAAACACTTTTTTTTAACTTCAAAACAACAATTTTGCCAAACCATAGCCTACGTTGCTGGCGGTCTGCGGTTTGGGCCAGCAACGCAGGCTAGCCAAACCACAGACTTAGTTTACAAATCAAACGGGCTTTTCTTTCAATATCAGCGGATGCACTTCCGGCTTCAAGCTTGCAAAGACCTTTCATTTTCCCAACACGCTCTCGCGATTCTTCGTTCAATGACCTAGCTTTCGAGTCTTTCTTGGTACTGGCTTAGTCTTGACTTTCTTTGAATCATTTCTATGTCAGATTGAGGAAGCAAGGTCGTGAAACAGTCAAATTTGCCTTTCATTTCCCGACAGAGGTAAGAACGCATGGTTGTATCAGATTTTTGAATGTAAAGTAAATGCTTTTATTTCGAGTTTCTCAGTCAAGATTTTCTCCTTCAAATGTTCTTAATCTGTCCTCATTTTCTCTGATTTCTGGCAATGAAAGACGTTCGATTCCTGCAGTTAACTGAAGAAGATTCCTATTTTTACTTGATTCTGGCGTGTATTAATAATTAATGTATTGCCGCTTTGTGTTACTCATAAGCTAATTAAGCTGAGCTTGTTTGAAAAAGCCACAAAACTTCGCAGGCAATACCTGGCATTTACTTTGAAAAAAGTAAGTGATTCGGGAGAATAAAAAGGAATATCCAAATTATCGATTCTATTTTAGTGCAAGCGCTGATGATAGAAACACTTTCAGTTTCGTTTGATTGTCATGTTTGCACTAGCTTTCGTGTAGGGCTTACATTTGTATTAACTTAATTTGCCCCCGTATTTACGATACTTTTGACCAAGAACGATTAACGTGTCCTGTGTATGTCATGTGTTAATGTTCCTTATTTTATAGTTTGGAAGTAATTTATTCTCTTTGGCTTAAACACTAAATCATGGAGCCACCTACAACCACCTGAAACCACCCACAACCACCTGAAACCACCTACAACTACCTAAAACCACCTACAACCACCTTCAGAAACCTTAACTTCGACTCAGAATTTTGTTTTTGTGTTGTCAGGTGTCAAAGAAGTAATAAAGAGATTTAGCCAAGTCTAAAAGGGGAGCTCCAAATCTTCTGCGTGTTTTTAATAATTTCTGAAAATACTTGAGCCTGCGATCCATTTGAAACATTTACAGCATTAACAATGGTCAGCGTCCGCCTTCCAAATATTACGTGACCTCGATGAGTTGTACAGGTGATACTGATTAGCGGGTACCTTGTTTTGGCAGCTGTCAATTGACCATAAATGATGTAAGCTGACGATAACCTGAACCTTTAAGTTTAAATCAAGGCCAATTAATCTTGGAGTATAAAGGTTCAGACTAACGTCAACTTACATCGCACAGAACTGATCGAATTCAAGTAATTTTTGGATGATGACCGCTGACCGCTCAGGTATTTTCAGAATAACTATAAAAAAGCAGAAAATGTCGAGCTTCGCTTTTAGGCTTGGATAAGTCTATATTATTTAAAACATTCTACCTTACACAAATTGCACAAAACTTACTAACACATCTTGGTGGTAATTCAATGTCTTTCTTAGACAAATACCATTCCAAAACTCTCTTTTTCTCTTGCGAACCCCCAAATATGTAGAAGATAAAATTGATAATGCCACGTAACTTTTCTCAATATTATGGGTAATAACATTGTTTTTTGTTTTATAAAATGTTTAACTGAAACAGCTTAGCGAAATGATTTATAAATAACTTCTTACTGAAAGTGCACACGCGAGTTCCTCCTCCACATGCAATTCCTTAGCCGCTAACACTGCCCTTCCTCTTTCAGATAGAAATGTAAGGGTGCGTGCGGGAACCCTTATGGCAGAAAAGGTGAATTTCTGGTCATATTCAGAGAGGCATTTGGTTAGAAAATGCAGGTAAAGATTACCGGTATATTTGACTATCTTTCCTGACTTATCAGTGCGTTCCCGCACTCCAACACTTTTGTCGGCATCCTTGACTGCTTGATGAAAAGCCACCCTACATTGCTCACAGTGTTGGACACTTTTGGGGCATAGCTCTACATCATCTCTGCTTACAAGCTCGTACTCGTCCTGTCAGGGTTAAGGAACTTCATTGCACCAGTAGCTGCAGTTGTTTTTTTCTCTACCTATGAAGTTATATTAAACATGATAAATAACAAACCTAAACCTCAGTCTGCGTATTTATCTGTTTTTCTGTAGGAGAAACTAAATTACCCTTGTAGAAATCCCAGGGCAGATTTAATAACAATGCTTATTTTTTGGGTAGTAGATCCCAGGACTGTGATTATTCACCTGGGTGACCCCGTGACCCCACCAAGTTTTATGTTGGTCTTGCAGTTCGCACCATTTCGGGTTCTGGCGAGTGGACTCTCTTTGTTTTACTCTGTGAAGATGACTTCGGACCAGCAGCCCTGGGTTTCTTATACATGTCATATAATTTCTGTGTGAAGTTACGCAATGCAGATAGGTGTTGAGCGTGCCTTTCTGGGCCCCACCTGTTCCACTTCACTGGATCGACTTGAAACTGGTCGTACCCAGGAGCAAGCCTATACTTTCCCAAATCACGAACAGCCCCCACCAGAAATAGCTTTGTCAAGATCATGGCCGATCTTCTTTATTCCTAACAATTTTGGTTTGGCAATGGCGAGTTCACCAGCGAATCTTCTATTACCCTCTCGACTCTTCTTGAAATTCCAGAAGCTTGGACCTGGGAACTCATGATGCTTGTTGCTCTGTTTGATTGAGGACTCATTCGTGTATGTAGTATCTGTTAACTATAGGCCATCGACAAACTCAAAAGTGGTATCGATTTTCAGAATACAGTTTTCAAGATCGCAGAATCGATGTACGTCATTCAGCATGTTGGGAGACGAGTTGACTGAGATGTATTTTTCTTTTGTGAAGGTAACACTGCTGTTGAGAGGCAGTGTTACCTTCAGTGTGGTCTCGGTTGATGTGATTCTTGTATTTTCTATTCTCAATCATCTTTGGGCCTGGTATTGTCTCGCTGACGGTGGTTGTCTTTTCCTTGATCAAGGTATTGTAAACTTTATCTATGGGCATACCTTCATCCAACAAGTACATCTATGGCTGTAAATGTGCGAGGGTCTTTGCGAAAACATGACAATGTAGTCGGCTTTTTGGTGTGTGATCACATGCACTGGCATGTGGAGAAATGACAGAAACGGGTTTTCAATTGCAAGGTATCATAAACAAAGACTTCCCAAGAGATCCTTACGGAGAATAAAATTACATACGCCATCACTTTGCTCTGCACTTAAATTTTCGACCCCGTCAAACGTTTCTAGAACCTTTTCAATACTTTCTTGGACTGCTCTCTCAAATCTCAGGTAGTGTTCATCACTGCGAAGATCGCTTTCATTTTCACGTCTTTATCCGCACTTCAAATATATGACTTTCATATATTCACAGTCGTTTATTTACCACTTCACGGGTTTATTTGGAACCAAGATAATAACCAACTCTTAATTGGCTTGTTAGCTCAGTTGGTAGAGTGCCGTATCGGTATCGCAGAGATCATGGGTTCAAATCCCGTACAGGCCTGAATTTTTTCCAGGCCTTGTTTTCACTGCTGCTCAGATAGTGTTCATTACTGTGAAGATCGCTTTCATATTCAAGACAAAGATGAGGATGTTTACCCAGTTTATCTCAGTCAACTGCGAATGTATTTTATAAATCTTGAAAAGTTTTATTATGAGAAGTGAATTGCTGTTCATTTAAAAATAACGATGCTTGTTTTCTTCTGTTCTTTTGTTACTTCTAGTATGCCATTAATATTAAATGGTTATGATTTTGTGTCTATGCATCCCTCTCAATCTCAGAACGGAAAAAATATTTCTTTTGCAACCGGGTAATATGTTGAACTAGTGTTTATTACCATTTGCAACTATCTTTTTTTCAGGCCAGAATAACTTAAAACGTTACAGCAACGTTGTAAGAAGAATCTTCTAATAGTTGCAATGGCTACAGGAAGAAGTCCAATTAAAGTGCCATGTGAAAATGAAGACCTATTTGCCAAAGAAAATGCACCAGATTTTGATGAGGACACTTTACGAGGTAAGTCAGGTTCAAATTTGGCTTCAGCTATTAATAGAACTTTTTTCTATTCCACCAGTTTTGAGAATGGAAGCAGATGTGGAGAAGGATATATACACTGTATGACCACTTCGAAGGATATTTGGCCAGTCATGGCTCTCTTCCATGATAACAATATGCTATTCATTGAGCGGATCTGTGAATTTGTTATTTTATTTTCTAAAAGTTCAAAGGAAACTTGTACACAAGGTTATAATAAGTGAAGACATATGACATCCATTTTGTAAGTTTGCATCATAAGTACCATCATCATTGTTATCATCTTCCTATTATAATGCAACAATCAATTGAAAGCCTCAACCCCCCCCCCCCTCCCTTTCCTGCAGGCATTTGACCATATGGTGGGGGAATTGAACCTTGCCTGACTAGTGTTGAGGAAGTTGAACCAGAAGTGTCAAGTCTTTCCATTAGAATACAATAGTGTTATGTCTTTAAATATGGAGGTGTTTAAGGTAAATAGTGCACTTTTGCTGAAAAATTACTCAAGAGTTCAAGAGAAAAACGTTTTTAAGGGTTAGGTTAGGTTTTAAAGCTTGCTCAGTGTGTTGAAAGTCACAGTTGCTAATTTTGCTTTTTAAATAGAATTTGGGTGGGGCATTTGATAATAATTTTTTCCAGGGGGGAGGAAGGGAATTTGAGGAAAGCAATCTCCAAAAGTTCAAATGCGCAGGGGTTCGCTTCAAATTGAGAGATCTTATCATCATCATCACCGTTGTCACCCACATTATCAAGATCACCATAACTATTAATTTCATAAGTAATATTGCTTCTGGTTTTTATAATTACAACGTTTGGATCTTATCTAAATGTATTTAACCCTTTTTACTGCCAAGATCTGATCCATAATTCTTCCTTGTAGCCTCTACACATTTCCTTGTAATTTAGTTAAGAGAATTTAGTGTTAGATCAAGATAACAACTTTAATCTGATAAGTTTGAGTACTCTCATAATCTGTTTGCTGGATGATGAATGGATATTATGTGGAGATGTTTCATGTTAATCACTTATGGGAGTTCAAGGGTTAAAGCACCAGACTCTTTTACACTTATCATTATGTCAGCTCTCCCTGATTATCAGGGAGTCTCACAGACACAGAACGAGACTCTAGGTCTCCCATATGGGTCATCAAACCTTCAAGATAAAAGAGGATTTGGGTCAGTTCCTCACAGAAACATAACTTTTGAACTCCAGATTTCCCACATCCAATGTTATCTGGCTTTTTGTCAATATTAGGGTTCTTATCTTAATTTTCTTGATTGTGCTTAGATTTTTTCAAAGTAGGGATTACACTTTCTTCTAAAACAACAACCACAACAGCAACTGAGTCTGATTGGTTGAGCTTTCAACCAATAAAATGTCTCATAAACTTACTGAGTGGGATTTATTTCGTGAGGGGGGTGGGGGGGGGGCTGCAGACGTCATCGAAGGTTTTCAGGGGCCTGTCCAAGTCAGGCAGGTGCAAAAGTGGCAGCTGGCACAAAAGGAAAAATCTGCAGATTTTAAATCTCCAAATCTTTGCAGCTCTGCTTATACACCTATTAACTACAACCACAGACTTTGACAAATTATTTTTTAAATTTTTTCTTTGCAGCCGCAGCTGATGGTTATAGGAACGAGGGTAATGAGGCCTTCAAGAAAGGAGATTTCATCAGTGCTATTCATTTTTACAGCGAAGGAATTAAAATGAACTGCAATGAGAAAGAACTGAAGGCCAAACTGTACAACAACAGGGCTATTGCACATTTTAAACTTGGTAAGATGATACTAACTGATTTGTGTATTGAAATACTCTTGATATAATGTCCATTAGCAATGTATTACTACCTTCAGCAAGCTCTACCGAGAGTTTTGATACATCTTACTAGAGCGCTAGCAGTAGAGAAGAAATGGAATTTGCGAGTACGATTCAGCCCTCTGTTAAGGAGAACCGTGAGCATTCGACGAGGACTGACTGCATGCCCAAAAGTAAATTCTCCAGAAAACATGCGCCATATCTTGGCCGCTCAAAAATACCAACAAGTAACCTCTTACCACAGACATCAATGAACATCACAAGCTTTTCTTAAAATTGATGTAAAGGTGGTGGGTTTGCTATATGCGCAGCTAATCAGAGATATTTATTTTAAAAAACAGGAAATCACCAGGATTCACTAAGGGATGCAGAGGCAGCCATTAAGTTAAATCCAACTTTCCTCAAGGCAATTGTGAGAGGTTAGATATATTAACTGTGCTATAATAAAAGTAAAAAAGAACTCAACACTCTAAAATTAAGTAAAGTTAAATCTTGTCTCAACTTACTTTGATAACGAGGTCTACACCACCCTGATGTACATTTGAATCCAGTGCTTGACTGCTGTGCTGTGACTTTACATTATGAAGAAAACATTATTTTGAGTTGGATGAAGAACTCAATGCTGAATGCAAAGCAAAATTTCAGCATGAGTATTTGAATTTCCTTCTGCTCAATGAGCGAGGTAGTGGTGTCAGATATGTTTAGTCACTATCTCGCTGTTTTGAAAAGAAGTAAGGACTTAACTTAACTCAAACCGTAAGAAAACTTTCCTCATTCGTCAAGTACAACTCAACTTTAAGTGCTATAAAACATGTAATAATAATGTAATTAGAGACGGCATGAGTAAATCTTTTAGTTTGAGTCACTTCCTAGGAATTAATTATCAACTGATTGAGTAAAACAAATATGTTTACTCAAACTAAAGGGAAACTAGTTTTAATATCAATTAAAATTTTTTATTTTGTATTTTGATTGAAGTTGAAATTCAACCCAGTGTTAAAAAGATTAACTAAAAAATGTACCATTATGATGATAAAAAATTTTTATAAAATGGGTTTCATTTTTTGGTTTTGGTATTGCATGTCTTATATTCTATCCGTGTATCTCTTAATGATTTTGTGGGAATTGTCAGTCCCAATTTAAGTGTTCTCAGAAGTTTCAATTATCAAAAGCTACTCTTACTGAAAACTAATGAGGCCTGTTTATTCTTTTCCTTTTAGTTTGTTTTTGCTTTGTTTCGTTTTGTTTTTTTCTGGTCTGTAATGATTTAGCTTTCAGTGGTTTCTGTTTCTTTTCTTGGAATTAGGCTACAGTAATTATAAGCTTTTTTGCGTTGTTGCCTACAGGAGCCACTGCCTGTGTTGAACTGAAGAGATTTAAAGAAGCAATCACTTGGTGTGATAAGGGATTAGCTGTATCCTTTGAAGATATCTTTTATTTTTAACCGTAGGTATAATGGATGTATTCCATAATTTGACGTTTTAATGGAGAAAATGTGAAGAAGGGTATTAATTACGATGGGAACTTGTCATCTCATACTTTGAGTGTGTGTGATTGAAAGCTGTGGGAAAAGTTATTACCCCGTGACTTAATAGTGATATACTCCTTTTAGCCATGACTTCGTCATATTAATCATGCCACAACTGGTACATCAGTGTGGTAAAAAGACTAATATTCACCCAGTGTATAAATGGTACATAGATAGATGATCTCTCTAAGACGAGTCAGAAAAAGAAGCTTGGTAATGTTTATATATATTATGTTGATTTTCTCGCCTTTAAATTTTTTTCCACTACTCAGAGACGCGGAAACTTTCGTCGTGTTTTTTGTGGACAAAACATAAAAACTGTGTTCTAGACTCATCTCTTCCCCTGCTGTAAAACATTAGTCTGATGTGAAAGCTATATTAATTTAAAATCGAGCAAGTGCTTCCCGGTTTTTGGAAACAAGGGATTATATCTGGATATTTGGCGTTAAAATTTGAGGTTTCACACAGGAGAAAATTTTTGTGATGTGTAGATTTACTTCATAACTGACTTAAAGACTGAAGGTTGATTAAACATCTACCTTTCATACAAGCTGAAGGCTGAAGGTGACGTTGCTGTAATAGAGACCAGTATCTAGTGAGCATAATAACAAAGTAATTTGCATTTGGAAAGCAGCAATGTTGTATCATAACAAGGTCACCCTTAGCCACACTCCTGTTCAAAGGCTTGAGGACCTTGCACGCAACTATGAAAAGGGACTATTATGTACCAATGTGTTCAGAAAATGTTTTTTCCCGCATATTTAAACCTTAACGTAAAAAAAAGATCGACAAAAATAATAGGATCTTGTTGTCATTAAGACTTCAGTCTCTCAGAGAAGTGGAAGATGAGTCCGTGGAGGAAAAAGATCATCTTAGTCATGGCCATGGTAGTACAAGTCCAGGTTATGCCAAGAAAGTCATAGACTTCTGCAATCAGGGAGACAAGTATGGGGAGAGTAACAATTATGGCAATCTAGGCAATGCTTATTGCAGTCTTAGTGATTTAAAAAAAGCCATAGAGTACTGCAACCTGCGTCTTAAAATTAGTAAAGAAGTAGGAGACAAGCATGGAGAGGGTAACGCTTATAGCGATCTTGGCAATCTGTATTGGAGTCTGGGTGATTGCAAAAAAGCAATAGAGTACTACAACCTACTTCTTAAAACAGCACAAAAAGTAGGAGACAAACGTGGGGAGGGTAGTGCTTATAGCAATCTTGGCAATGTTTATAACCACTTGGGCGATTTGAAAAAAGCCATAAAGTACCACAACCTTCATCTTAAAATAGCCAAAGAAGTAGGAGACAAGCCTGGGGAGGGCAAGGCTTATGGCAATCTTGGCAATGCTCATGACGGTCTAGGTGATTTCAAAAACGCCATAGAGTACCACAACCTAGATCTTAAAATAGCCAAAGAAGTGGGAGATAAGCATGGGGAGGGTAGTGCTTATAGCAATCTTGGGAATGCGTATCGGAGTCTGGGTGATTTCAAAAAAGCTATAGAGTACAACGACGTACATCTCAAAATAGCTAAAGAGGTAGGAGACAAGCATGGGGAGGGTAACGCTTATGGCAATCTTGGCAATGCTTATTACAGTCTGGGTGATTTCGAAAAGGCCATAGAGTACCTTAACCTACATCTTAAAAAAGCTATAGAAGTAGGAGACAAGCATGGAGAGGGTAACGCTTTTGGCAATCTTGGCAATGCGTATCGGAGTCTGGGGGATTTCAAAAAAGCCATAGAGTACCACAACGTACATCTTAAAATAGCTAAGGAAATAGAAGACAAGCATGGAGAGGGTAACGCTTATGGCAGTCTAGGCAATGCTTATGACAGTCTCGGTGATTTCAAAAAAGCCATAGACTACCACAACCTACATCTTGAAATAGTAAAAAAAGTAGGAAACAAGCATGGGGAGGGTAGTGCTTATAGCAATCTTGGCAGTGCTTATAACAATCTGGGTGATTTCGGAAAAGCCAAAGAGTACCACAACCTACATCTTAAAATAGCCAAAGAAGTAGGAGACAGGCATGGGGAGGGTAACGCTTATGGCAATCTTGGCAATGCTTTTGACAGTCTGGGTGATTTCGAAAAAGCCAAAGAGTACCACAACCTACATCTTGAAATAGCTAAAGAAGTTGGAGACAAGCATGGGGAGGGTAGTGCTTATGGCAACCTTGGCAGTGCTTTATACAGGCTGGGTGATTTCGAAAAAGCCATAGAGTACCACAACCTACATCTTGAAATAGCCAAAGAAGTAGGAGACAAGCATGGGGAGGGTATTGCTTATGGTAATCTTGGCAATGTGTATCAAAATCTGAGAGATCTGATCAAGGCCAAAAATTCATACGAGCTAATGCTCAAAATTGCCAAAGAGGTCGAAGACAAATCCTTGGAGGCAACGGCCTACTATTCATCAGGATGTGTTTTTGAGTTGCTTGGTCGACTGCCAAAAGCCGTTGAATATTACCAAGCCAGCATAACCTTGTACAACTCCTTGAGAGTACTTCTAGAATCTAAAGACGAATGGAAAATTAATTTTCGAAATCAGAATCAAATGGCGTATACGGGTTTGTGGAGAGTTCTCGTAGAACAAGGTAATATAGATGAAGCTTTATTTGCTGCTGAGAAAGGACGAGCTCAAGCTCTGAACGACCTCATGGAATCCAGTTTTTGTGGTGGAACAAGTCAGCACGAGAGAGGCGATGAAGATTTAGCGGTTTTAGGAAACGTTCCATCAAACACTATCTTTCAGGCAGTCGTCAGAGATAACGTCAATCTTTGGGTTGTTTCCGAAGGAAAGCAAGTTCATTTAAGACAAAGTAAACTTAAAGGTTCTTTTTCAGAGAATATGGAAGCCAGTCAGTCCTTTGAGTCGTTCATGCTTGGTGTCTATACGCAACTGGGTGTTCTTTCTAATGTGAAATGCGAGAATCGATCTTTGGATGCTTTGAGGGAGAGCTGTTCAAAAGTGGATGAGAAAACTAAAAAAGACAACCCTCGAGCTCCCATCGAACAAAACGAATGCTTGTGCACTTTGTATGATACCGTTATGAAGCCAGTGGCTGACCTGCTTCAAGGGGATGAACTACTTATCATTCCTGATGGACCCCTGTGGCTCGCTCCTTACGCTGCATTCAAGGATGGTAATTCTAAATACCTGTGTGAATCGTTCAGAATTCGACTCGCTCCATCATTAACAAGTCTTAGACTCTTTGCCGATTGCCCAGATGATTATCACGAAAGCAGTGGTGCGCTGCTTGTAGGAGATCCGTGGGTAGCCGAGGTTACTAACAGCGAGGAAGAGAAAGTCCTCGAGCAGCTTCCGTGTGCTAAAGAAGAAGTAGAAATGATCGGAAAAATTCTGAATATCACTCCAATCACTGGCAGACAGGCCACGAAACGTGAGGTGTTGGAAAGAATCAGTTCCGTGTCCTTAGTTCACTTTGCGGCACACGGATGTATGGAAACTGGCGAAATTGCTCTTACACCTGACCCAAAGCGAAAATCTACTGTGCCAAGAGAAGAGGATTACATTTTAACAATTGAAGATGTGTTGAATGTTCAACTTCGCGCCAAGCTAGTTGTACTTAGTTGCTGCCACAGTGGTCGGGGCGAGATCAAGGCTGAAGGTGTGGTTGGCATTGCGCGTGCTTTTATGGGGGCTGGTGCTCGGTCTGTTGTGGTGTCCTTGTGGGCGGTTGAAGACAAGGTTACTCTTGACTTCATGAAATGCTTTTATCAACACCTTGCAAAAGGTAAACCTGCAAGCGAGTCACTGAACCTGGCCATGAAGAGCTTTAGAGAATCAGACGAGTTCCGCGACGTCAAATACTGGGCGCCCTTTTTGCTGATTGGAGATGACGTCACTTTTGACTTCATGGCAAAGGAAAGAGAACATTTTAATACAAAATCAAGCAAATGAATTTTTTATTTGAAAAAGAATGACACAGGAACTTGGAAGCTTTAAATGTTTTTCTGTTTTGGAAATTTTTGGCTATCTTTTATTACTTTTTATTTTTTTTAAAATGGAACTTGAGATGTGTAACTTTACTTTGGTGAAGAAATAAAAACAGATTATTTCATTATATTTTGATCAGCGGAATTGTCTTTTTTTCTTACTTTTACAAATTTAAATGTATGCGAAGAGAACAAAATGCATCAAGCCTTCTGTTATGAATGCCTTCAGTAGTTGAAGGCGACTATGAGGTTTCGTTTTCGCCAAAATGATACTCTGCTCTATTCCTGTATTACAATCAGTTGTATGGAAAACAGTTTAAAAGTTTTTTCTTGTACTTAAGCAAGAGCTTTTCCACCAGGTCTTAATTTCGTTTATACTCTGAGCTTTTGATAAGCTAAGAAACAGCTCGTTGTTTGCAAAAGTTGGCGGAATTTTAATTTTAAAAATTTGATTTGCAAAATTTGCAGCCATATATATGTTAATTAAACTTGGATGGTTTTCCTAGATCATAAAGTACTTTGTTACAAATTGAGATTATCTTTCCTAAAATTGATAACTACTCAAAATTTTTTTAATCCATTTTAATGCAACCTAATTGTACCGGTGCCAAGAATGCCATTCTAATTAAACATCAGAGATGAAGTTATTTGATTTACTGACCATATATTAGAGACATCAGACCTACTTTTAGGGGTGTAGCCAGCCTCTTGTCCCGTAGGCCCGGCCTACGATTATTTTCCGCCCGCTTAACTTTTGTAATATGATTCTTTTTAATTTTGAAACAAAACTTAAAATTTCTAGGGGAACAGGCCTACAACCCTGTTTTAGTGAAATGAGTTGGTCAATTTTAGTCCGTTTTATGAAAAACTTATCTGTTGGTGTTAAAGAATCAAGACAGAGAGGTAAAAATATTGTCCATGTAATCTAAACAAGGAAACAGCAAAGCAGAGTTCACTGTAACTGAAGTTGCCATAGCTGTAACTTTAAATGTGTGTGACAAGGTTGTTTTTTTTTGTTTTTAGTAGGAAAATATTTACGCCCATAAATTAGAGAAGCAATTGAAAAAAGCCATGTAGTCCTCAAAAGTAATTACTTTGGTGAAATGGTTCATAAATAAATGCAAACTAGTCCGTGGTTGAAAAGTTTCAGGGTTCATGGAAACTTTCAATTTTTGAAAATTCCTCGTTGAAATTTTTTTCATTACTTTATATTTACCTTATTATAATTTGAAGATGTCTGATAATATCTTTCTCAGATTTAAGAATTTATGCTTAGGTATTCAGAGCACTCTTTGTGATTAGAACCCGTTATTTGGTCAAAAGTTTAAGATATACTGTATCACAGCTGTGTTAGAAGAAATTTTTGTAAAATCAATCTTAATTTTGCAGTTTTCGTAACTACCATTGGTATATGCCGGTAGAAAATGCAATAGTTAACCTCACACATGGCTGAGTATGATATAACGTAGGATTTTAGAAACAAGCTGGAACGCTGTTAACTAATTTATAATGTCAAATAATTTCATGCGAATTATTTTGATGCTATCTTTATTTACAGTTGAAGATAATTGTTCATTTACTTTAGTTTAATTAACTCATGAACTCCCAAGTTCTGAAGACAAATTTTCCCAACTGACAAGAATGTGTTTCTTTGTTGCTTCATTCTTAGAATTCAATGTCACATTACGTTTGTAGCATAAACTTATCCTCGAGTTTTGATTTTCTCTAATTCTTGACACCATTTTTGTAGGTGTATTTATTTTGTGAGGAGAATTTAAACTATAATCAGTCTTGGAAGTAAATGGGTTAATTTTAGTGTCTCTGTTTAGCGCGTATTTTACTTAAAGCCTTGAACAATTTAATGCAGTTTTTATTGTACTTACTTGTTTACTTCTTTGTGTAAGAGAAATAAACAGTGTATAAAATACAAAAACTGCGTTGATTTTTATCGTCTGTCTCCATATTCTAAGGATTCACGTAAGAAGCAGAGAGAACAGATCCTATGGGGACTTCAATACTTGTTTTGACCCGCACGCGCCAAGTTGATCATCTGTGCAGCTGACAGTGAAGTTACATTCCTTGATTCAAGTCCCCACCCACTTAACAGAAGCGCTTCATTTCTTAGATTGTGTCTCTTCAACTGTCTATCGTTCTCCATATTTTACAAACGATTTTGAACGCCGACGGACGTTTTTATACTGTTACATGTGTGCTCCTTTTTGACATCTTTTCACATTTGCGCATCGCTTTTTTCTCCTTCCTTCCCTTTTCTATCGTACTTTTCATTTATCCCATCTTTACGCGCACTTCTTCCATCGTCCTCAACTTTATTCTTCTTCGCGCCTCATGAGACGCAACTATCTCTTTGTCTGTTTTAATTGTTATCCGTCTCAATCCTCCCGCAACGTCAGGCTTCTTTCACCTTATGTACCTCCTTACCTCTCTCCCACCCCTCAGTAGTTGCTATCATGTCTATTTTTTCCACGTTAGAATGGTGTCCTCCTAGCGTCATCTATAATAAAATCTCAGTTTTCCTTTCGATTGATGTCCAGTCCACAATGGTCAGGTGCCAATATTTGCTCTCCTCAGTCCTCTCATTACAGTTGCAGTTGAAAATTGGAAGAGCTCCCTCCATGTCTCGGCGACATAATCGCTGTATTTTATAGGAAACTTTTGAATGTCTGAATTAAGGCTTGTTCTTCGCATACACGGGCAAGTGATTGGAGTTTTAGCTGAGGAATCCAAGTAATCTTTGCTCGATTGCCTTTCTAACAGTTGAAGCCATGCACGAGTCTGAGAGAACGCGACGCTGATCCTTGGTCAACCGGCTGAAAATAAAAAATTGAAAAGGTTTCGCTGTTTACAATGCTGTTTAATTCTTGAATCGCATAGCCAGCAGTTTTGTGGAAGGTCTTTTAGCAGCAACATTTCACAACATTTCCGTTGCCGTTGCAATTGTGGTTTTCTTAAACTCCCTATTGACACTTCGGCACGGGCGTTTTTACGCCCGTGGGAATGTGTGAGGACTTCAGGAGTTAGAACTGCAACACCAAGGAAGACGTCAATTTAGGGCCTGTTTACATGGTGGTGGGGAACCCCAGGTAGGTGAGGTAACTCGTCTAGGTGGGGTAACCCGCCTGTCCATATAATTTCTTATTTTATTTTGATCACGTTTACATGATAGGTAGGGTGATCCGCCTAGGTGGGTTGCCCGGTCTGCCAGGCAGGGTAACCCTGTCAGCCGTAGTGACAATTTGCCATGTAAACGTTGCAAGGTGGGGTTACCCGCCTAGCCGGGGTCGCATTCATGGCAAAAAGCTCAAAAGCGAAACCTGTGTTTTAAAACTTTGTACATTTCCTGGCCGTCTCATGGCAAAAATCACCAGAAACCGCAACGGACACACAAGGAGTGGAAAATGTTCACATTTCGGAATATTTAGCGTTGTAAATCGACCATATTTGGTTTCCCAAACTATTCCGTATAACGTATTAAGTCAACGGTTTCTCGCGAAACCAAACACCGCGTTACAAAACGCGTGACGCTTTCATGAATAAATACATATGCGTCCGAGAATTAATCTTTCTTCTTTTTCGAGATGTGAGCTTGGGACGCCTCTGCTCAAACTTCTTAATTGCAAGCACAACAACACCCCAGCACCCCGGGGTTGTAAGATTGCATGTAAACGCGTTTTATTTTTCTACCACGGCTAGGCTGGTTACCTCACCTACCTGGGGTCCCCAACCTCCATGTAAACAGGCCCTTAAAAATGAATACATATTTTTTTGTTGGAATTTCGCGAAAGAGTGGATGTGTTTACCATCTCTTACGGCACCACAAGTTAACCTCAGCATAACGTATGAGAGCGGCGTTGAGTTCTAAATGGAAACTTTAATAATTTGCCGTCGGGGTTTCCTTTCTCGGACCACGCAAATTTTGTTGATTTCACTGTAATTTTGCAGCGGCCGGCTACGAAATGTGCACAGTTTTAAACGCACACGTGTGCAGAGCTATTGTTTTGCCACGTCTTCGCTGACGTCGCTGTCGCGGGTTGCTTAAGGTCCCTAAGATCGACAAAGGCCTTCCTGCAGGCGAAATAATATATGTAACAATTCAAATTAACTCCACCGAGCAGTACTCTCATGAGGTACTGTTCATTGTGCTGTTCAGGGTGGCCTCACTTAAAACGCTCTAACCCGGAATCCTTGAGCTTGACCATTCAAGTGCCAGTCGTAGGGTGCTACTTTAATAAGATGTTTTTCAGTTTCAGTTCATAAATGAAAACCTGTTTTGTAGCCATGTATGTTAAAGCTATCGGAGACCAGTCTTGCCGACTTGTGTATCACCAAAACACCACGCAAACAGCTTGAACGTCATAGTAACTTACCGTTAAGTCTTCGTCTATTATCTTTTTACTTTCTCCTCTAATGACGGTTCACTGGCGGACTGAGGGGGGAGGGTTAAGTTAGTTTGCCTTTACAGTTCTTTGGGTTAATTTATACCATTCGCTTGTTTTTCTTTGACTTATGTATACAAAATGTACGTGAAATTCTGGGAACACATCTTTAATGGTGATGTGAGTCCTATGGTTTATTGTCAATGTTGGAACAGTGCTACACATGAAAGAAGCAGTGAGTGTAGATCATAAACGCCTTGTTCTTTTTTTTTTGTTTATTGTTCTTGTGCAAACAACACTAATTACAGTTCAAATTTTGCGTGCGTTAGCTACGTAAAATTTCGTAATGTTGCGTAACGTAGCATCTGTTTTTGTTCATCGCATATTGTTCAGTTTACTCAGTAAGTCCGCTTGCGAAGAAAAAAAATCTATTCCATCGTACTGCACGGTCTGCTGTTAGGCAGTAATTCTACAGCACCGCAACAAATGTAAGTTTTGTATTGCGTAGTTTTCATCGTTATTTTCGTTGTGGTTTTCCTAAGCGTATTTAGTTTAAAGCGTATTTCGCTTAATTTACATTGTAATAAGTTTCCGCTCACTATTTTGCTTGCAGTTTTTAACCGATCCGATCAATACCAATTTGTGTCAGCAATTTTTGAGATTAAATATATTGTAAAGTCGCGTTAAAAGCTGTCTGATTGATTTGCTGAGAGTTAGTCGCCCATGGTAGCCACAATGTGTATTTTGTACCACAAAGCCGTAATTTTGTCATACCATACAGCAGAGGTTCTTCACTTCCGGTTGTCCGTGTCGTGTACCTCAAGCATGTACAGAATCTTGGGCCTGAGTTTTTTTCAATGCTGTCGGCAAGTTTACAGTTAAGGTCGTTTTCTCGAGATTTTTCGTTCCATAATGTTTCTGTCCAATTTCATTTGGACCTTATAAATCTTACTGAGTTCCTTTGAAACATTCTCATAACGGATTGAGGTGGCAAGGTTGTTAAAAAAGCTCATAGAACAGTCAAACCTCGCTTCTGTTTGCTCGACAGGGTAAGACTTTACCAGCTTGTGTGGGATCTTTATACATCAGGTAAATGCCTTTAGTTTGAGCTTTTCTAGTCAAAGTTAACACCTTCAAGTGTTTTAGAAATCTTTTGGGATTTTCTTTGATTTCTGGTGGTGTGAAACTCTGCTACCGGGCTATCGAGGATTGCTAACTTTAATTTGAATACTTCGTTGCAGTGAACTGCCGTCCCGCGTCACTTCAAAACTTAACCTAAGATGCTAACGAATTTACAAAAAAATGCAGAGAAAAAGAAACGCTATTTAACTAAAAAAAACATAAAAATAAAAATAATAGGATTTAGTGGTGGAAATTCTACGGAGTGACTCCTCTTGTCCACTGACACAAATTGTCAATTAACACTGCAAGTAAATATAGTGTACAAAAATCCCAACTGCCAAAAGGCAAACCGATTGGCTATAGACAAAGTGCAGCCAAGGACTTTAACCCGGAACCCAGCGCCTTAAACACTCAGCCACTCTCAGAAGTGTTAAAAGTGGGGGATTTTTAGTTCCTGTTTGGTGCTGATAGAAGCACTTTCAGTTTCGTTCATTATTTTATTATCGAAACTGAAAGCAACTCGATCCGTGCCAATCCCCAAATTAAAATCAATTTTATCTTTCGTCGGCAAGTTTACTGCTAAGGTCGTGGTTTTGAGATTTTTCATTCCAAAACGTGTATTTTCTCTCGTGTTTTGAAAGGACCTTATCAATTCCAGTGAGTTTCTTTGAAAGGTTTCCTTATTGGACTGAGGTACGAAGCAAGGTCGTAAAAAAGCTGCTGACATCGCTTCCGTTTCCACAACAGAGGTGAGAAGCTTTACAGGTTTGTGTGAGGTTTTTGTATACTGAGTAAATATTTTTACTTTGAGCTTCTCAGTTGTTGTTTTCTCCTCCAGTTTCTTTTTAACTTATCCAAATTTTCTTTGAATTCTGGGCATGAAGGCGCTGAGTTACAACTGCTGAGATTTTTAACTTTTACTTGAATCTGGCGCTGGGGTGCACTTGTTTAAAACTTACACTCAGAGTTGACGAATACAACAAAAAGCCACAGGAATAAATCAAAGTGCTCTGTGAGCAAACTCGTGAATTGACACATGATTTTGACACATGATGTTTAATGTTATCTGGTTTAGGGAATTTTGTGGTTGATTGTCATATCTAGAGTACGAGCAGTAGTTCAGTGTTCGCTAATGTAGCAAAGAAACAAAGTAACGTTGGGATAAGAAGGCATTACAATTGAAATAATCATGCTATTACATTTGACAAGGTGAATGATGTCATGTGTTTTAAACGTCTATCATTTTTGTTTCTGGTTCAAAAGAAAAGGTTGGAAGTAAATGTGGGTGAAAAGTGAAATTTACTGTTTTTCGTTGCAAATATTAGAAAATCAAGGCAATACTGTCTTAATGAAAACATTAACGATTCCCTCTTCATCAAATCAGACAAACTGGAACGAGTTTTGAGTGATATAACTAAGCCAAGCCTGCCACCGTCATTTTGGATCTCCGCCTGGGTAGATTTAAGTCACGTGCTAGGCAACGTATAATCAATAACAAGATAGAATTTCATTTCAGGCCTATTTATCAATTTTGTGGTGTGTAACTTTCGCATTTTAGTACGTTGTATGTATGTTGAATCTTCAAATTGTCTTGAAACTTAAAAGAAAATTGTTCTTTAAAAATTCACTGAAAATCGGTAGCTAAAATTGTTTGTTTAGGTGTTATTTGATTTTCGTGTTAACTTGTAATTTCGTCAGTCGCCGGCATCTTTTGTTGCTTCACACAGGAAAAACACACGCGACGAAACGTAATGATCAATTTTGTCCTCAATCTCACGCCATAACAGAAAAAGCTTTTGAACATCTGTAAACTTCGAGCGCTTCGCAGTAAGTAATATTTTCAATGAATCTTCGGATTGTTTTCGAGTTCAAGGATTGTAAATTACAATTTTATGAAAAACGAAGGTTGTTCTGTTATTTCAGTGTGAATCCTTGCATGCCTGCCAGTCGCTGGCGCCGCTTGTTGAAACTAAAACGAAAAAAAAACTCTTTTAAGATTATCATTGGCTTCTTTTTCACCCCACCACTATTCTTAGCAACAAAGGTCGCCATTTCTTCTGTTTACTGCTCGCTAAAAACTATCAAATGCACTCAAAAGCCTAAAATCTAAAAAAAGTTTACAGGAATCGACCAATCGAGCGAGCGAGCGAGCGAGCGAGCGAATGCCATTCCCCACATGGTATCTATAACTCGCTCTTGCGCATGCGCGCAATTCACGAGTTAAAAACTGGTATCTATCAAGGAAAAAACCGAATCCTTCTTAAGTGTTTCGAGGAAAGTTCAAGAGATTGCTTTAATTTTGTGTTTAGTGATGAGCGAAGCACTTTCACTCTATTTACGAAATTGAAAGTGCTTCGATCAGCGCCAATAACCAAATTAAATATGTATGGTTTTTTTGTTGTTGTTCTTTTTGTTACTAAGGTCCCTTTTAAGACAGAGGCGTGATCACAAAGGATGATCACGTAGGTTGAAGTTACAATTGTGATCACAGTCTGAAAAATTTTCCGGGCATGATCACGTTAAGTCTCCTTCGCAACCGTGCTTAGACTCGTCATGCAACGGGAAAGGAATGTAGTTCAAAAGTAAGCAGCCGTACGTAGGGAGGAGCGTTGCGTGACGAGTTTAAGAACAGCTACGAAGGAGACTAGACCACACTATTTGTGCGAGTTGTGACGGCTGTTTTCCCAAAGCGATTCTCCGGAACGGCAATTTGAATGGCTGCAATCTAGCATAAAATTTCTTTGCTAATGGAGACAGTCTCCATTTCTATCAGTCTGTTCTAAACGGCGAAAGATTAGTCCTCACACGTAGTGAAATAATTTCCGCCTGAGTGCAACGCTAAATCATCACGCCGCTGGTTGTAATTCAGTGAATATTTTACAACAATAGTGGCTACGTCAGTGCGTGACAATCTGTTGCTTCACTAAGCAAGAAACAATAAAGTTCCACAAAGAAACGTGTGCAAAATGATATCAAATATGATTTGAAAAGAGTCTCTATAAATAAATACCTGCTTTAGAATTTTTTTTGTAAGGAGTACGTGACTCGATATTGGGCAGACAGCGAGGCCGCGTGAGAACGTGTCTCGTGACAAAAGTCACGCATTGAGTACGAGACTCACACTAAAACTATAATTTTTCATGCATTTAAGGTTTTTTATTTGAACTGTTGATTATGGGGTGGAAACTGCTGCTTAGAAAATTAATTATCTTTCTAGATGAAACTGGGTGTGCATGTATTTTGAGTTAGAGCTTCCAGCTTTGATTGGTTCAAACTTCACGGATGCGTTTTGATTTGGGGAGGTAAATGATATGAACATCACACAGTCACTGAATTTTTCTCTGTTTTCCACAGGATTAAAACCAACTAACTTTTTACATGATATTGTTAAAACAGAAATTTAATAACAAACATTTTTTCACATCTTTAGTGGCTATGGAGAAGACTTCAACTAAAGTTCCAATTGTGGACGTTGAAACAGCTGAGAAAGAATTTTCAAAGGATGTTGATGAAGAATCTTTACAAGGTAAGGTTCACTTCAAGCTTCAGTTACTTTGCTACAAGAACATGCACCGTGTATTCCTGCTGTATATAGATCGTAGCAGAGGCAAAATAGTATATATGACCAACCCGTGGGGTGTACTTCTTAATCATAGGCTGATGGGGATGATCCGCTGGATAGAGTGGCATTTTCACGACCGAGTTGACTATGGTGGGGTATCATTTTTAACAGAGCTCATTGCAGGAAAGGGGTCGCACATCTTCGGAATTTTGGGGCAAGAAAATTCGAGGAAAGTAGGGACTTTAAAACGGAAAGTTCGTTGTTAAAAGTTTGTTACCAGCACGTATTGCCAAAGTGACCAAGATGGGGTCGATAATTAGCCACAGAATAGACTGTAACGGGGTAAGGCCTTCTGAAAGACCAGCGGCACACACCCACAAAAAATTGAATTGAGCACCCCCTCAATTTATTTTATATTCTTTTCGTACACAGGGGATTGTGACGCTACGATGATGACAGCTTGCTCCGACATTGATCAGCCATTGCTACGGAAATCAGCCAAAATAATATTAATCTGGCCAAGACAAAGAAATCCCTGTTATTCAGTGGCCTTCAGTTTGTTGTTGCTATGGCAACTAGTTGGGGCAATTCTGTACATGATTCGTGATGTTGCTTGTTTCAGCGTCCAATCCACCGCATATCAGTGCAAAAAAGAGGCCGCTTTCCCTTTTTCGGAAGAGCTAACAATAGTGTGGCTGGCTTCGCTATGTATTTTCACCGCTATCTTCATAGCTGCTTTACGGAATGTTCCACAGTTCCTCGGTTACAAGGCAATTCTATATCAGCTCATGTTTGTTCCTTCATTCTTGACTCTGGTTCTTCTTCTCACCCTCGCCTTGTGTCGATACATCAACTTATTCATTTCTATCGAGTCTTCATCATCTCGGGTCATAATTTTTTTCTTGATAGTAAGTTATATTCTCAGAACTTTGGCTGTAGGATTTCTAAATTACACCAAGTTAAATTTTTTGAAGCAGAGTGATCCCATTTACGTATTTGTTATTTATAAAATAACGGTCTTCGTATTTTTCGTTGTTACCCTTATCAATCTTATGGCTACCCTTTTGGCTGTGAGTGTGAAAATCCACGAGATGCATAGAGCATATACAGATAAGAACTCCTTGGATATGGATACTATAAACACACTTTTGGCAGTTTTTGGCACAACCACTTTTAGAATTTCCTTAATGAATTTCTTTTGGGAAAAGCTTTTCACCGACGACAGGAACATCCTTTGTAACCACATTCCTTTGGAGTAAGAAATGAAAGGAAAATCACAGGGTACCCACTCTTGTCCCCGAAGCCACTCGTTTTCTCTTATTTCGAAGGAATGCTTGTTGATTGTGTTTCTAAGATTTACCTCTTGAGCTTAGTGTGCAGAGGGATAAGGAAACATGTATAAATGAGATATAATCATACAAAGTATAGCTGATTGTATGAAAGTGAGAGAGAGATTAATGTTATGTGAAGCATTCGAGAAGTATGTCAGTGATGTTAAGTTATATACATATATACAAAGTATGCTAAGCTTTTGGGAGATTTCTACTCCAAATGTAGTCTATTAGGTTTATATTGGTTGCTTTTGGCCTCGCATCAACAACGGATTATTACAACGTATCAGCAACGTATGAATAAATGGGTTTAGTTGGTAAGGAAACTTTGGTGCTGCAACGGTGAGGGGTACAACAAGATAATTTGGTTTATAATCCAACTGCACAAAGTTGTTTCAAATAACGTGAATATATATCCCATGTGTGTACTGTTGGTTATTTTGTAGAGTAAAAAAAATCTGTTTAGGCGGTTGGCTGCGCACGCTTCGTTTCTTTATCCGCCTTACTTTTCCCGCCGTATGATAAATTAGCAGAAAGACTTGGCAGGAGAAAAAAAGCAATTGGACAATAAATAGGTTATTAGACTGCTTAGTGTATAGTATTGCTTAGTATTTTCACTCCTTGTTTGTATTTTGACTCGCCTTACGGCCTCGTCAAAATACTGCACAACTCTTGAAAATACTCGGGTATGTCACTGCCAGATAAAGAAAATCCAAAAAGGTCTTTAAGGGAAAAAACACTTGAAACGTATCTGAACCAGTGCGGTGCCACAAACCCTCCGGGCTCTAAAGTCCTCTAAAGGGCATGCAATCACAAAATGAGACTAAGATAAATAACATTCTATGTTCATGCTGCAGCAAAATGTTTATGAATATATTCTGAAATGAATTTGTTTGTAATTTTAGAAAGACTTACCCCTCTGTGTTATGTAAAGACTGCTAACGAGAACAGGTAAAAGTGAGATGTAAAAATGTAGTGGACCTTGGAAGAACGCGAGAAGCGCACGAGAAATATTTTAATTCTTATGTGTATAAAAACGTTGTGTAGTCAGTTTTTAGGAGTTTGTTCTCGTCGTAATTTTGATTTGTAACTATTGCAAATAAATGATCTTTAAACCTTTCCGGGAGTTCTTCATGATGTAGATCAATTTTTTTTTTAGGGTTTAGTGTCGGTTAGAAATTCACCTTTCCTTTTTCATTTCCATGTAAAAAAAGTTATAACATTCTTTACTATGTTTTTAATATTTATCAATATTGAAAGACTGCCATGCATGAAAGTAACAGCTTTTTTAACCTCAAAGCAATAATTTGGCCAAACTTCAGACTTTGTTTACAAATGAAAAAGCCGAATTACGGGCTCTTCTTTCAATTTCAGCTGAAGCACTTCCGGCTTCAAGCTTGCACAGAGTTATGGGCCGAACTATCTTTCCTTTTGTTTTCACGACGCGCTATTGAGGTTCTTCGTTCTATAACATAGCTTCCGAGTGTTTCTTGGCACTTTATTAGTCTTATTGACTTTCTCTGAATCATTTCCAAGTCGGGGTGAGGAAGCGAGGCTCTTAAACAGTCAAACTTGCCTTTCATTTCCGCGACGAGGTAAGAACGCATGGTTGTATCAGATTTTTGACTGTATGGTAAATACCTCTATTTCGAGTTTCTCAGTTAACATTTTCTCTATCAAATGTTTTTAATCTTTCCTAATTTTCTCTGATTTCCGGCAATGGAAGACGTTCCTGCCGTTAACTGACGAGGATGGCTAACTTTTACTTAATTCTGGCGTGTATCAATAATTTTTGTATTGTTGTTGCACATGTAACACGTCTGTTACTTAAAAGCTAATTAAGCTGAGCTTGTCTGAACAAGTTACAACTGTCGGAGCAACTGCAGAATGCCCTGCCACTCATTTACATGTCATTGAATAAGTCGAATAAGAATGACGTTTATTGTGTTAGGCCTCGATCTCCAAAGCCTCCCGACACATGTGAATGAGGTGGACCAGAGTGGCGGGGTATTCTGCAGGTAGGCCAAAAGGAATTTCCAAATTATCGATTTGATTTAGTGCAATTAAGCGCTGATGATCGAAACACTTTCAGTTTCGTTTGCGTCTCATGTGGAGCAATTGCTTACAATCGTGTTTTAATTGCACAAGCTTTCGTGTAGGGCGTATATTTGTATAAATTAATTTGCTCCTGTATTTACGATGTATTTGATCAAAAAACGATAAACATGTCCAGTGTATGTCATATGTTTATGTTTATTATTTTATAGTTTGAAAATTATTTTGTATTTTGGATAGAGTACTTATATTCTCCATCCAAACTGTACTGTTATACTGATTTCCTTGTTTAGTATTGAGACAAATCGATTCTTCTTCATATGTCAGCTAGTGATTCAGTATAGCAAGCGTCCTTTCAATTAACTGCTTCCGATTTTTAGGAATCCAATTCATCAACTGGTAATGATTGATTGGTACCGGAGTAAAGTTTTACCTTTTGTCATCTGCTAATTAAGATATGTTTTGTTTTCTGTAACAAATTATATGAACTTGCAACACAAAGATGTTGATGTTTAACCAATTTATCTCAGTCAATTGGGAATGTACTTTATAAATCTTGAAATTTATCACAATGAGAAGTGGATTACTGTTCATTCAAAAATAAAATGCTTGTTTTCTTCAATATATATATATATATATCTTTTGTTCTTTTTCTGCTTTAGTAATTCCATTAATATTAATTGCTTGTGATTTTGTGTTTATGTATCCTTCCCATTCCCAAAAGGGAAAAAACATTTATTTTGGGTAATATGTTGAGTTGATGTTTGTTACCATTTGCAACCATCCTTTCTTCAGGCCAGGATAACTTAAAACAGCAACTTTGTAAGAAGAATCTTCTTACAGTTGCTATGGCTACAGGAAGAAGTCCAATTAAAGTGCCATTTGAAAATGAAGACTTACCTGACAAAGAAAATGCACCAGATTTTGATGAGGACACTTTACGAGGTGAGCTATGTTGAACTTTGGCTTCAGTTATTGTTAGAAAAATTTCTATTCCACCAGTTTCAAGAATGTAAGTAAATGTAGAGAAGGATATATACAGTGTATGACCACTTTAAAGGATATTTGGCCAGTCATGACTCTCTTCTATGATTACATTATGCTGTTCATTGAGAAGGATCTATGACACAGAAACCTTTGTTATTTTCTTTTCTAAAAGTTCAAAGCAAGTACACAAAGTTATAATAAGTAAAGACTTAATTTGATCATCATACAGCATCCATTTTGTAAGTTTGCATCATTACAAAGTACCATCATCATCATCATCTTCTCATTATAATGCAGCAGTCAATTTGAAAGCTTCAACATCCCCTCCCTTCTCCTCGAGCAACCCACAGGCTTTTGATCATCATCCAAGGCAAAGGGGAGGGGGGGAGGAGGGGGGAGATTGAACCTTGCCTGACTGGCATTGGGGAATTTGAACCAGAAGTGTCAAGACTTTCCACTACAATGCAACTGTTATATATCATTGAATATGGAGGTGTTTAAGGTACATTAAGTGCACTTTCACTAACAAATGGCTCAGAATAAATAAGTGCACAAGTTCTCAGTTTTAAAGCTTGGTCAATTGTTGAAAGTCACAGTTGCTAATTATTTTGCTTTTTACAAAAATTTGGGTGGGGCATTTAAACCCGTATTTTGCCCAAGGGATAGGAATTTTTAGAAACCGATCTCCAAAAGTTTAAATGCCAAGGGGTTTGCTTCAGATTGAGTGACACTTAATTCTCATCATTATTAGCATCATCATAAATATTAATCTCATCTTAATATTATTCTTATCATTTATATCATAACTATTTGTCTATAGGTAATACTGCTTCTGGTTTGTACGATTGCAACATTTGGATCTTATTGACTGACATTAACCATCTAAATGTAATTAAAGCAGTAGACTCTTTTACACTTATAGTTTTGCCAACTCTCTGATTATCAGAGCTCACAGAAACAGAATAAGACTCTTGGTCTTCCACATGGGTCTTCAAACCTTCAAGAAAAATGAGGATTTGGGTCACTTCCTCACAGAAATATAACATTTGAACTCCAGATTTCCCATGTCCAATTTTATTATGGTTATCTTGGGGTTCTTATCTTAATTTTCTTGATTGCACTTAGATTTTGGGTTCCAAAGAGGGGATTATGCTTTCTCCTGGACAATAACAGCATGCAACTGAGTCTGATTGGTTGAGCTTCCAACCGAAAAAAGTCTTTCATAAACTAACTGAGTGGGGTTTGTCCTGTGAGTGGGGCCATCTGTGAGACTGTAGACATCATCTAAGGTTTTCAGGGGATGCTTCAAGTCAGGCAGGTGCAGAAGTGGCAGCTGGCACAAAAGGAAAAATCTGCAGGTTTTAAATCTCCAGATCTTGGCAGCTTGCTTATACACTAATTAACTACAACCACAGATTTTGACATAAATTTTTTTTTTTTTTTTTGCAGCCACAGCTGATATTTATAGGAATGAGGGTAATGAGGCCTTCAAGAAAGGAGATTTCATCAATGCTATTCACTTTTACACAGAAGGAATTAGAATGAACTGCAATGAGAAAGAACTGAAGGCCAAACTGTACAACAACAGGGCTATTGCACATTTTAAGCTTGGTAAGATGATGAGAGCTTTAATGTGCATTTTTCTGTCCTCAGCAAGGGCTTTCAGTAGTTTTTCTGAAAAAGGTGATAATTTTGAATATATGTCTAAAAATAAAAAATCAGAAAAAATATAAATGCCTTATCTTGGCCTCTCAAACATACAAAGAGCAATTCACAAGTTTTTCCTTAAGTTATTGTATAGGTGGTGGGTTTGCTACATGAACAGATAATCAGAGATATTTATTTTCAAACAGGAAATCACCAGGATTCACTGAGGGATGCAGAAGCTGCCAATGAGTTAAATCCAACTTTCCTCAAGGCAATTGTGAGAGGTTAGAAATGTTAGCTGTGCTATAATAATAATAATTAAAAAAAGAACTTAACACTCTAAGGTTATATGAAGTTATATCTTGTCTCAATTGACTTTCATTAAGAGGTCAAGACCACCCTGATGTACATTTGAATCCAGCTCTTGACTGCTGTGCCATGACTTTCCATTATGATGAGAA